GTTCTTTAGTTTTGATGACTATCAGAAGAATGGAAGAAATCCTTGCCGAAAGCTCAAATAAAAACACAACTTTTGTCAACTGACATCAAGCCTGGGGCTTTTCGAGTACTGCAATAAATTCAATATGGGCAAATTGAGAATGTTATAAAGTTGCATTCCTACTTTTCAAATATACAAAACATTTCTCCCAGAACACATGACAACATGAAGTGTTAAAATGATGCAGTTGCTGAACATGACCTAATACTGTTTTTATTTTGTGAAATTTTGGAACTAATATTTTGTACTTGCTTTACACAGCACATTTCCAGTTTATCAAAACCAAAAATCATTCTATACTGAATATCAAAATATAAATAATTATGACCATAGACACACTTGTTAAGTTGCACTCTTTACTGCATTCAGAGCTTTATTAGTGTATTGGGAAATATAAATGTACAAATTTTATGCTTTTTAGCACGTCACATTTTTTGTTCAAATTTCCTTCTAATGTTGCAGTAATTCAAAACAAGAATGAATGCAACTTTTTCCTTGCAGTGTGCAGAAATGCACACCATGAAATATTTTACACAATAGACCCATAACCTCAATAAAGCTCTATCGAAGAGCATTATCACTTTATCCAACTTTATTCCAGTTACAATTGAGTGATATAAAAAAACACCATACCTGTGCCTGCTTTTATTTTTCCTTTTCTTGTGACCATGTGAATTTTTATGAATTTTTCCTACATGTGAACTGTGAGATACGTGAAGATTACCATTACTGCCAACACTACTGCCTAAATTGTGTGATGCCACTGAATGACTATTACTCTGCATAGCTGTTGTTGGCCCATTAATAAGTGGGAGGGCTTCTGTAGTGGGACTTGCAGTTTCTCCTGTCAATACAAGTACACAGGGAATAAACAAATTCAGATTTATAGGTACCCTTAGAAACACTTGATAAGTCTAGATGTTTACATACCGACATTGAATAACATTACTTTTATGTCCATTCATTGCCTTTCTCTAAAATTACAAGATACATTATCACACGACAAAAGTGAATATCATTCACAGTGGTGAGATTTGTGTGGAATACGTGTATTACTGATATTATACATCAGTGTTCTCCCCAGGCCTCTGAAGCGACACGGTACCGTGACGCTTGGAGACTCGGTCGTGATGCTTGCCCTTTGTCCGTGACGCTTGGTCACTCGCCAGTGATGCTTATGTTTTTGTTTACAAGTGTCAGTCTCGTCTTGCAAGTATTTAAAACAATAACATGTATTGATCGATTTAGGTAATCCCGCTTTTGTTAGCCATACAAAGACAGTGATAAAAACGGAAGTCTGCAATATGTTGCGA